CCTTTGGCTATTTTTGGCAAAACTAACATAAAGAACCTATTACAAGATAGAAGATAAAAAACAAAAAAAACAAAAAAACAACTAAGGGGATATTAAGAGTTCTCCCCCTTTTTGACAAATACAGCCAAAGTTAAAAAGAATACTAATAAAATAACCTTTTAGAAGCTGTTACTCCCCCTGAGTCCTCTACGAGTCTTACTCCCCCTGAATGTAACACTCTCTTAAACTTGATATTATCACCTGTCAAATGCTTGGACCAGCCACCATTACTACACACACAACCATTAGTACATGCTTCTAAAGAAGTATAAGTCCTATGACACCTTAAATCAGATTTCCTTACCCAAACACGTCTAGGAAATTTGTTTTGCACATCAATCCTTGCTTTAGGTGTCCTTCTTGAGTTTGCGGAATTTGGTGGATTCATGAGCATACCTCTCTTCAAAGCATTCAAATACTTATAGCATATTGGTCTTATATGGCCAGCTAAACCGCAGTAATAACATATGGGAACAAATCTTTTACGTCGAGGGGGTGAAATAATAACCTTCTTACTGAGGGTTGTGCGAGGTTTAAGAGCGGGTGTCTCCTTCACAAATACTGTATTGGACGTTGAACATTCACTGGTGTAGCCAAGTCCATGACGATCACAACTTGCTTTTCCTATAGAGAGAATATGATCCAATTTGGTGGTGCCGGAATTCATCATCTTCAAATTTTTCTGAGTGCTATCTAGTTTTGCCCTTGTGTCCTGCAACTTTTTCTCATTTTCAGTAGCTTGAAATTCATAGTTAACGGTAGCCCTCTTAAGCACATCATTCTCTTTAACAAGCTCACCAACTCGCTCTCGTAGAGACTTATTCATTTCACACACTTTAACCCATTTGCTGAACATGGTCTTATAGGATTCTTGTATGGCATCAATAGTCAACTCCTCACCATCACTGTCACTTTCAGAATCTGAAAAATCTCCTCCATTTTCACTGTTCACGGAATCTGTTACAGGCAGTGTTGTAACACTGTCTGCGACACTTTTTGTAACACTGTCTACAGAAACACTTTGATCAGTATAAATATTGAAAGCAACATAGTTACTCACATGGTCTTCATCCTCATGACTGCCTTCAGAGTCTTCATCACTCCATGTAGCATTAAATGACTTCTTCTTCTTCTTGAGGGTGTTGGCACACTCGGATTGAATGTGGCCATATCCGTCGTATTCCCGGCATTGAATACCCCTGTTTTTGGTCTTCATCTCTATGTTATTTGCTGCAGCTTTATTCTTCTGAAAGTTGCTGGAATTGTCATTTCTTGAATTCTCATTCTTCCTATTGACCTTCTTCATCACCTTGTTGAATTTCTTCGACAACTTTGTTATGGACTGGGCCAAGTCTTCATCATCATCATAATCAACTTCGGCTTGAAAGGCAATACTTTTCTCCTTCTTTCCTTCCTTGTTTTCATCCAAATTCATCTCAAAAGTGCGCAAAGAACCCATTAGCTCATCAAGTTTCATTGTTTGGATATCCTTGGCTTCCTCAATAGCTGTCACCTTATAAGCAAACCTCTGTAGAAGAGACCTCAAGACCTTCCTCACAAGCTTCTCCTCTGATATTTTCTCTCCAAGGGCAAAGGCCTCATTAGCAATATCACACAATTTTGAATTGAAATCAAAAATTGTTTCATCTTCAAGCATGTGTAAGTTTCCAAACCTAGTAGTGAGAATTTGAAGCTTTGATAGTCTCACGTCTGCCGTGCCCTCATGCGCCATTTGTAGAATTTCCCAAGCCTCCTTAGCCGACTCACATGTAGAAATGAGTTTGAATTGATTGGCGTCCACTCCGTTGAAAATGGCATTAAGAGCTCTTGAATTGCTATTCGCCAATCGATCTTCTTCAGTAGACCATTTCTCTTCGGGTTTCATAGCTTCTTCTCCAGCATCATTTTTGGTAATGGGGTACATCCAACCAATCAACACAGCACGCCACGCTTTCTCATCAAGTGCTTTGATGAACGCCTTCATACGAGCTTTCCAATAAGAGTAATTGCAGCCATCGAGGAGAGGAGGACGTGAAATTGCAACACTTTACTGTAACACTTTTTGTGATAGAAAATCTAAAATTAAACCAGCAAAACAGTAAAGCAGGAAACTAATGCAGAAACGTAAAGGACACCAAAAAAATGATATCGCAGTTCAATGCGTACACCTACTCTGCGGGGCCACGCCCAGACAGTGATCAATCCACTAAGTTTAAAAGATTACAAAGGACTGAACGGTCTTACACACTCAACGACTCCCTCCTTGACGATGTCGCCGTTGCCTAGAATCTCCTTAGAAAACTTGATCAGCGAGCACCACTTGACTTGACGGTTTCCTCCCGAAACCAAAGAAATCTTCTCCCGAAGAACCAACTCGAAAGTGTTCTAACAATTTGTCGCAACATATCAAGCGACACTTAACATTACAATCTCATTCTCACATGAACACACACAACTTTTCTGTTTTCAGCACACAGTCTGCATAATACTTTCAGCACATTGTACATCTCCTTTTTCTGCCGTTCAACCTCTAATACAAAAAAGCTCCCAGCTATTAATCCCACAAAGTCAACTCTTGATTTTGAGCAAGCAAATCCTCTTATTTTCAGCCCTTAAGCATGACAGCCAAATTTTCCTTAAGTGGCTCACCAATTTACAATGCCTACCAAAACTTACCACCAATTTGCCAAAAATAATTTTCAAACAATTTGCCAAAAAATAAGCCAATCACAAATTACACTAACATCCTCAAAGCTTGAGAACTATTAACTCTATTAACTCATTCTGAGCTACATAAAGTGTTAATGGTGTGTCAATGAGAATTGGCTTGGCTTCTTAGATCAACCGAATTTGACTTTTGCTACAACTTTTTAGTTACGAATTCAAGTGCAGGTTGTCTTCGAGTAATAAAAATTTGGGAGTCTGAAATCGATCCAAGAGAAATTAATTAGAAATTACAAGATCATAAATATTTAATAAAAACAAAAGATATTTAAATTGATTTAAAAAAAAGTAAAAATACTTGCTACAGTACTATACGATACTATTCACAAATACGGTACTATTCATCAATAATTCAGTTTTTAAGCTAGAATTATCTATATATTCCTAACAAATGTAAAAATACAGAACATAAAGTTGATTGAAGGTTATACAAGAAATAAAAGACGCCGAAGTTAGGGGATCCGCTCTGGGTATTATACTAAGATTAATCTTAACTCATTTTTATAACTCAATTGGAATCCACAAATAATGGAGGTTTTAATCGGAGGATTTAGCAATATATAGCCTATTAATATAGCATATGATATTATATTTACTTTATGACACCAAAACTTATAAATAGGTTCAAGTATTCATTATGCCAATTTATGTCTACAACAAATTAAGGTTAACACAGACCAAGCAAATGTCTAAACGAAACCAAGCATTTTTTGTGCCAATCATTGTCTATAATGAATCAAGACTCCTACTTTACAAGTATATTATCAAAACATGTGAATATAACACATATACTAACGACAACAAATGAAATTACACATTAATCTCAAGTTAAGAGTATCAAATTAACCTTAGTATTTACTAAGAGTTTCACTCTATCACCTCAGCAAAATGAAATTAAAAGGACATATTGAACATGTAGAACACAAAATATAAGTAGGAAATCATCAAAAATATTAATTTGAAATTCTTTTACAAAAATGATGAAGAACACAAAAGAAACACAAGAAAGAGAGAAAACAAGCAAGTGATGTTGATCTCTAAACTAAGATGGTTTTACAAGCTTCTTCTCTGGCCTATTTATAGAAGGTGAGAGGGGCTAACACCAAGAATGAGGCTTTAGTCGGATTCAAATGATAGCCATGCATTTTTGACATTTTTGCCACCAACTTTGATATTTTAGATGGTCATCTTGGACATGTAATTTTAGGGCTGATATTTTCAATAATAACTCCTGAATCTGAAAAAGTTGTATTCAGAAAGCTTGTAGCGTTGTCTCTTATCTTTTCATAGCCACTGAATTTATCTTATTTGGACGTGTATTGAGAGACATATGCTCAGATTACTAAGATATTACTAAGATAGGTCAGGATTGGAAGTTAATGTTGCATACAGTACTTGGCGGCTGATTATCTCATTAATGACATCCAAATTGGAAAAGTGGTATTTAGAAAGATTGTAAACCTGCCTCTTATCTTTTAGTAGCCACAAGAATCACCGTATTTAGATACATATTGAAATTTAGATACATATTGAAAGAAATATGGCCCAAATACAAATGAAGGTCGGGCTGAGCTTTGTTGGAATTTTTATTTTGTTGCAGCCCGTTTTTAGAAATGAAAGAGACCGATTCACTCTTGTTACAAAAGAATATTTGTAGATTTTTTCTACTGATCGAAATCTATAATCATTTGTCTAATTTGGCCCATGATAGCCCAGTTATACTTAAATTGTCGAACATACATAAAAAAATGACATTTATTACGTATCAACAACAACTTTATTTTTTTAGCCTAATAATGCAAAAGTACTTTAATCAAAAAATTTAATGACACTCTAAATTTAAAATGATGATATAAAATCATATTAAATGTACGCTTTTAAGTTTTTATCAACTTTGAATGTCAACACATAATACCAGTGAGAATCATTTTGAATTGCACAATTGCGATATAGCTGGTAGCTATAAATAATTAACACTCCATTTACTTCCAAACAATCGCAAAATTTCTCTACACAGTGTACCAACCATGACCAATTCTAAGGAAACAAGAATACATATATAATAATTCCTGATGAATCAACTTTTTATTCACTACCTAGACTCCTAAAAACAACGTGTTGTAAACTTTGAAAATGAAAGCAGAAAGTCAGGACTTTCAGTTATTATTATATTAATTAAATAATGAAACGGCTTCTTATTTGCTTTGAATTTTGATGTGTCCATAATTAGAACTTAATTATGTGCGCCAGGCGCGGAGCATTGGCAAGACGGAGAACTTCATACGTCCAACACTGCAATGGAAGCCATTGCCTGCACCACAAGCAAAGTAGTAAGGCTGCCACTTGTCCAGCACAAACTCGAAACCCTCACCGGTGCCTTGCACGCCGTTGGCGATCTGCTTGGCGTTGCTGAAATTGCAGTTCACGAAGCTCTTAAAGTCCGGCAGCAAGTATATGTTATGCGGATGCGAGTTGCTATCAACTGGTAGGTTGTATTTGAAAACTGCCAACATATCCAAGATGAAAAATGTAAGAGAGTTGCTACCGACTTTGAGTTGTTATATTTTTATTGGTGCTGCAATCTCTAATTACTAATTGGTCTGATAGTTTTTTGAACAACTATTAATTAAAAAAATAACAATTCAAAATTAGTTTATTAAGTTGGGATTAAATTTGGAATCCCTTGCATTATTATTTGCATGATAATGTAGGTAAAATGTGCTCTGACTTGTTTCATTACTTATGGACTTTGTAAAAGAAGATCCAGTCAAAACTAGGTCTACATGCAATGGGAAACCAATCTATTGGTCGTTGACTAAAAACATATATATGACAATTAATAAGATTATATTCTTAATACGTCATTTGATCAAAGTCACATATATTGCTACGACATATATAAACAATTCGTTGATATTTAAGAATTATAATATTATGTATGTTTGCATGCGTGAAGACACATAGATAGCTAGGTTACCAAGGGTGTCATTGAGGTAAAAAGGGCCGTGCTTGAAAGCCCAGTCAGTGTAGCTGAAGTTGAAGCGCCAGTTTTCGGAGCCACCCACAACAATCTTGTTAGGAAGTGCTTCTTGTGTCTTGTTTGGGTGGTGATGACGATACCACCACCCACGATGTTTGAGACGCCAATCTGTGTAGTTAAATCCGAATCTCCAATCCCTGTTGGCCAAACATGACCCTGCCAACATTGAAGCAAAAAGCATAATTGCAAGTGCCTTAATTGCCAAAGAATTAGTATACTAGAATAACGTCCCATCTTTGCAATTGCTTAATATAATCTAGGATTAATTAAGAAATTAGGAAAGATGAGAAAAACACTAAAAGGTGTTGCACTAGAAAGAGAGACTCGGAAATATTTGAGTAGTATACTTGTTGGACTTGTGGTGTGGGGAGAGTGAATTAATGGGGTTCTTATTAATTATATAGGGATGAAGAGAGGAAGTAGAGGACCGAGTGGATTAGTGCAAAATGTTATTTTTATTTTTATTATCATTTTTTTTTCCTAATTTGGATTGGTATAAGTGACCAAATATATGTTGCTAGAACCACTAGAACCACATAATATGCTATGAGTTGAATTTGTTTCCCCCTAAGTTAGTCCTCTAGTTGTCCCTTTTCTCCCAAGCTCATTATGATTAACATGCCTTCAAAAGGTCAAAATAACCGTGTTGTTTTATTGTTCATTTCTTTTTTTATTTGGTGGATCCAATTAGCCTATTACAAACTCGCACACGGTCGTGGATTTTAAAATGAAATGGAGGATTATATTTTCTTAATATCTCAGAAAAGAAAAATACCAAAAAAGGAAAAAAAAAAAAAAGTAGGAAATATAATCAAGCAAGGGCAACGTACAATTTTTCCGAGCTATAAACAAGCCAACTAGATTAAAGGAATAATGATAAAAAGAAATCATATAGAACTGTAGATTGGCTTCTTATGCCTCTCTTTGGCTACTATTGAAGAAGGGAAACTCTATCTTCTTTTGTTAAAACTTGAAAGAACAAACTAATTAGTTAAATAATTTTGAAAAATCCAATAATCTCGTGAATATCCCAAAAATTGGTTTGTGTTGCCTTGGATATATCTGCAACTTCCTCGAAGATTAATTAAATTGGTTGAAAACATAAATATGGTCAAAAAAATTAGTCAAAGTCATATAAAGTTATATACAAATGCATAATATTTGGTGCATACTAGTGGAATATAAATGGTGTATTAACTGAATTAAAACGACTAAAAAGTTTTGTGGGAACGAAAAAGCATACATGGCAATTTTCTTACACACACACCACCTACTTCAAGTTTGTGCATGCTGTGGAAAATATCGATACAATACGAATTGATTACGAGGTTATGACGTTCGCTTCCAAAAACATTTTGTCATTCTACATATCCAAGAATTGATCTTTTGTTAGGACCAAGTAATTCATTCTCTAACTTATTTAACCACTTATTAAAGATCAATAGTGATTTGGAGTTTATTTTGACCTCCAGATGCTGACAACAATCATTGTAGTAATCTGATAGATTGCCATCAATAATTTACTAGATTATGTCATTGGAATTATTTGACCCCCAGGTGATGCCGAAAATAACCATGGTAGTTTTCCACTAGATTACCGCATGTAATCTTCTAAACTATGTTGCCCTTTTCATACACAAATCATCTCTCGTCTCAAGCGGTGGCTGTTGCTCTTAATCCAAGATCTCATTGTTCGACACTAGCAATGCTGGCGATCATCACATCTGGCTCACATAATTTGAGCGGTGCTTCAATTCTCATAGCAACGACACTAACGAGCATTGTATCTTGCTTTGTGAGTTTGAGCGAACAAAGAAATAGTTTTGAGGTAAAATGACCTGCGATTGAGGGAGAAAATAAAAAACCGAAGAATGTACACATATTTCTAACTAATACATCTTAAATTTTCATTTTGCCTTTTTAAAACTCTCACTTTACTCTTAAATTTTAAATTAGATTCATTTTAACTACTTCTTTTAGAACTTTTAATAGAAATATAATAGAAGGGGTGGTGCAATCATGTGATTTTTCTCATAGATTTTTAGTAAAAAAACAAATGAAAAAAAAAAAAAAAGACCGACCTATATAACCCCCTCTTTTTCATAAGTTTATTAGCAAAAATTTTGATTAAACGCGTTGCGATTCAAAATTTAAGCAGCAAGGAGATTTCAAAGTATGAAGGGCAAATTAAAATGATCTACCTATAGGTCTGTGTATCTACCTATATTAAAAGTGTGCAAACGCTAATGGTTCTAAAGTTGACACGTGGGGAACGTTTTGTTCCTCACCTTTTTTTTTTTTCTTAAGGTTCGTTCGGCTCGTTAATTTGAGTTGAGATGTGATGTTTTGTGAGAGCTTTTTACTGTAGCAAAAAAGTTAGATGTGACTGTTTCTGAGAGCTTTTTACTGTAGCAAAACTCGAATTTTAAACTTGAATCAGCGAAAAGAACGAGGCCTTAGTTTTGTTCTTTATTACTCACTTGTTTTTTATTTACATGTTTGGCCTTTATTTATGTTTCTTCTCATTTTTGACCTTTTTTTCACTCGTATATTTTTAAAATTATACGTAAACGCTAATTAGTTTTCTATGTAATTTGTTTTTAAATGTGTTTATATTTAAAGAAAACCACTACTAAAATAATGATATGTAATTTGTTTTTAAATGTGTTTATATTTAAAGAAAACCACTACTGAAATAATGATGTTTGAATATGCACTTACGTAAACATATTTCTTCCTTTCCATATGAACACCGTAATTAATTTTCTATTTGATCTGTCTATAATATTTCATTTACCATGTTCAATTTTATTTATGAAAATATAACATTAGATAAAATCATACATTGTAATTGAAACACGCATTTTAATACATATATTTTTTTAAAATCCAATTTTGTAGACGCGTCTCACTGAAAATTATACATTTATTTATTTATTTATTTATGTCTTATATTATTATATGTTTAAAATCAAAAATGAATTTTTCTAATAGATTACTCAGATGACACGCACAACAATATATGCGCTAGTATAGACACATAGCGTAAAAATGAAATCTCAAAATTTACTAAGAGATGCGTGGGACAAAATTCTAACTATGGTGTCCCCTAATTTAGGAAAAAAAAAAGATTCTTTACGGCAGAGTATGTTATTTTGCTCTACCGATGGGAACATATGCTTTTAGCTGTTAGATTATTTTTTAATGGTCAGATATGTACAGATCCATATTAAAAATTTATAGCGCGCCACATAAAATTATTCATACTGCATATCTCACCATTGAAAAATAAGTCTAACGGTAAAGAAAAATGCAGCTCCCACCGTTAAATCAAAATAACATGCTCTATTGTAAAGATTCAAAAAAAAAAAAACAAAGAAAGAAAAATTGCAACATTTACCTATAAAATTGTATGAATCTAAATCTTTACTTTTTATTCGTAATTAATACCTTTTTATTAGTATAAAAATTCAGGTATTTGTCTAAAAAAGAAAAAAAAGAAAAGGGAGGGGGGGCTGCATGAATGAGTTGGGCTAGGGTTTTGCTAGTGTACAGATGAGATCTTGACGATCCAAATACGTCCCCCCTCTCTCGTTTCAAATTGAACGCTTTCTGCACAGTGCTTAGTCCCGTCTTTTCCTCTCTCTCTCCATTTCGTCAGTGCATCACTGATTCACTGTCATCGCCGTTGAATCTCAGTCGTTCCATCAAACACCGTTAAGAGCCGATCAGACGGAGCACGGCGAGCTATGGGCCCACCGAAAAATGCGGTCCGTTCGATCTCTCAGGAGGCCTTCGACGAGCTCGTGAAGGAGAACATTGACGACCTCGGAATGGAACCGGCCGAGGCTCTTCAAGACGCCATCGAAACCCTAACTCTCCAGGGCGTCGATCTCTCCGGTATGGCTTCCAATGCTTCTCCTTTTTCCCTTTTGTTTACCAACCGTTTGGTTTCCCGGGAAAATTGTGGGAAAATTGGAAAAGAAAGGAAATTTCGTTATATGCAAATGCTGTTTTGTTGTTGTTGTGGGGAAGATTAGAGCATTTGCTAGAAAATCGCTCAAATTGTTCTGAAACCACCGAACAGTAAACAAAATTTCATTTTTACTTTTGAAAAATCTTTCTCTGTTTTTCCCGCATTTTCTCCGCAACCAAACGAAGTCCGTTTTGTTAGAATTTAGATCTTTTTGGTTTTGCGTTGCAGGGATTGTCACTTGTGTTCCAGGAGAGGGTAGTGTGAAGGATAATCCTGTTATACAGTGTTTGGATAGATTGAAGGAATTTGATGGTGGTTCCGAGGATTGGAATTCAGATTCCATTGCGGAATTGTTCGAAAAGCTAGCCGAGCTATGCAGTGTAGAGGGATCTGGAAATGCGGTGATAGCTACAAGGAACAGAGCGCTGGAATTGGTGTTCTCTGTGTGTTCCAAGATTAAAATTGAGGATGGACAAGCTCTTGTTTCGGCTTTGAAGGCAATGGCTGCTTTGCTTCATGGTATGGGGCATCAATAGTTAATGAAGTTTTCTTATCTGTAGTTGATGTTGATAAACTCCACAACGATTGAACACATATTGGATATATGAAAAATCATTCATGTCATCAATAATCTGGAAATGTGCTATACCCAGATTTCATTCAGGGACTAAACTTGTTTTGTAGGACAATCTGTTAGATTCAGATTAGGGAGAAAGAGCTTACCAAGCATGATAAAAATTTGAAATGTTAAAACAAAGTCTCTTTTATAAATTAGGTGACAAATTATGGTAAATTTGTTTTGCTTAAGTATTATACAACAATGCAAGTGAGGTATATGTAAAGTAGCATATACCGCGATAAGAGATCAATGGGCATCTTATTGATCTTTATTGGGATCTGTAATGTTTTATTCTTCAAATCATTGTTTGCTTTTGGGTCCATTTTCTGTATTGGTTTGAGACACTTGGTACTTGGTAGTTTTTTAGATACTTAAAATGCTTATTAAGCTTATCTTTTTGAAATTGTATATAACATTGGTATTTTCGTCAATTCCAGATCTTCAAAGCACAGAAACATTTCGGACCGTAGGTGGACCATCAATTCTGATGGGTTTCTTGAATGATGGTAGCCAAAAATTAGACATCTTGAATAGTGGTTTTGCTGTAGTTGCTGCAGCTGTGACTGGCAATGAGGTTCTGAAAGAGTCGTTCATGGAGCTGAAAATTGATGAGCTTATTCTTCAAACACTCCATAAACTGAATAAAGGCAGCACTCAAAGTTTGTATGATGCTATACGTGTTCTCCTAACAGCTGATGATAATCGTGTAGTGGCTTCACAAGTAAGTATTGAAGTCTCAGTCTCACAAAAGATGTACTTTCGTGGAACTTTTCCTCGTCATATTTGTGGGTTTTAGGTGGATGATTTCTGTGTGATTTGCACCGTTATTGATATGTTACTTTAAATTGGATTGTTTTTCTACTAATGCCTTTAAACATTTAAACTATGGACTTTTTACTAGAACATGACTATTGCATGTGCAAATTTCAGGTTTATGGCTATGCAAGGAAATTTGCCAAGATTGGAATTGTTGGAGCTCTGGTAGGTTCACTGCAAGCTGAGCTTAGTTCACCTAGTCTAGTTTCAGCAAGCATAGCTTTAAAGGCCGTTGCTGTTAATGTAAGTGCATTATCGTCCTATGAGATATTAATTGTAGATGGTTTATTTAGAGTTTGCCACTTTAGTGAAGGAGGCTCTCACTGCTTATCAGTAATTAAAATAATGACATTTCAACCAAATACATATATGCAGATGATCTTTTCTTGACACAGGAGCTTTATCTTCCCGCAGGACGAAATATGTAAATCCATTGCTGAAAATGGTGGTATTGATGCAGTGCTTCGATGCATTGATGAAAGTAGTGAACAAGGCAACAAAACTGTAGCTAGAGTTTGCTGTTCTCTGCTCTCAAAGGTATGATGTTTAAAAATCATTGTTCATGATAAAGTAACAATAGTTTTTTTAATCTTTAACTGCATTGAGAATCTCTTGCAAATTTCCTGGTTTTTGTTTGTTCAACTTTTTATAGCATGAAATTTGTTTGCCACCATGTGATTGTTTCCTTAGCTGCCTCTTTACCTGATAAAAGGGAAATTATAATAACTGTCTTCCACTTCAATTCGTTGTACCAAATTTCTTCATTTTAATGGAGAAACTTATGATGAGTAAACAGCTGGAACTGTTTCAATCCAATTTATAAGAAGAGTATAAGCAATTATTGTGCCACTATTTTATGTTAGATGCATAGGACATACTAAAACATACTAATACTGCAGGAAGATAAATTCTTATTCCAAACCATACCTTTTTTTATGGAAAAAATTACTGCAAACCATTCGAGTTGCGGATATTTATCATATTGCCAATGCCTTCTTTTATTTTAACTTTCATTTCGTCTTTGTTTTTATTATTTCCAGTGTTTTTTATTTTTGTGAAGCTTCTTATGCCTCTTGTGTGTGTTCAACTGGTTAGCTGGCTGGAAGTGATGCAAATAAAAATGCTATTGTTGAGAAAAGAGGCTTGGACAGGCTAATCAAGCTCTCAGCCAGATTTTTCGATGACCCTTCTGTTCTACAAGAGGTAAGAACCAAGCCAACTTGCATTTTGTGGCTAAAGGTTTCTATAATCAAGATGGCCACACTAGACTATGGCGCCTATTAACAGTTTATATTATGTTACAGATCATGGCAATTATCTCTGTACTCTGCTTGAGATTGCCAGAAAACGCAGCACGTGCCATCGAAGCTGGGGCTGGAGACCTTGCCATCCAAGCCATGCAGAAGTTTCCTGCAGTGCAGCAAATGCAGAGGAATGCCTGTTTCATGATTCGGAATCTTGTTGTCAGGAACCCCGAAAACAGGTAAGCATATCTCTCTTGTATCCCATTTGTCTAGCCTCTTTCAGCAACCTCTTGACTCTATCATCCCCCAACACCTTCAACTCTATACACAATGCACTTCATTGTTGTTTCTAAAGCCAAATTTACTTTCAATTTCTTGGATTCATTATGTTAATGTAGGTCTGACCGATGCTAGTAATGCTTTTTACTGAAGCTCTATTACCTGTGCCTGTAAAAATTTAAACGTTCCATCGCAGGACTTTTCTGTTAAATAATGGTGTTTCGAAACTCATAAGGCAGGCCAAACAAAACCACGAGAGCTGCAAGGAGGCTGCTACTGACGCTTTAAGGGATTTGGGACTTGATGACTACAACTTGTAACCTCAAGCTGTCCATGTTTGAACCTAAATTCAAGCTGTCCATGTTTGAACCTAAATTCTACACACTCCCATTTGCTTTTCCCAGATTTTTTTGTTTTTTTTTTATAATTCTTTTCGGCTTCTTGTTGAGGGTGGCTGTGGCAATTTTTTGTGTGGGGATCTCATTTTAATATCTCATTGTAATACAAGTATGAGACTCAATTCTTGCAACACGAGAATGAAAAGCGTTTTCCTGTTTGTTCGTGTAAAATTCGAGTGATTCTTATTGTCTGATCAGTAGTTAATTTCTTGATCGATTATCATGCTCGTTTAATTAGAATATCGGTCAATCCATTTACCTTAAATCGATAAAATTGTTCGGGCAAGCAAGGCTTGTGTTCAGACAAGAAGAGCTAGAGCTTGAATGGGCTTATATGAAGTCAAAAGGCATTAGTGAAGGCGAATAAGGTTTATATGCTCGTAGCCTCTTCGATGCGACTTTCGTGCTTGGTTTGTTGGTCTCTCACCAGACTCAAATAATGGGTAAAGAATGCAAACAAATTGATGCTTCACAGATCCCGTAAAAAGATCACCATGAAAAAGAGAACAGAAACAGCTATTGGCTAATGGCAAGTAATAATAATTCTGAAAAAAGATGGTTGCACTAGAAGTCTTGGAATTGACCAGCAATTGCAACGACATATGGTTCATTGAGACGGATGTAGAGTAACAAGACAACCCCCCACCCCTCACCCCCTGCGCTCAACGGAAAAGCGAACAAGTTATTGCTCGAAGTTCAAGTTATAAATAGAAGAATTATTCTCACCCGTGTCCTCCAATTTCAAGATCATTTCCACTTCACTTCCAAAATTTTAAAATTCTTATTTTGTCCCTGAATTTTGAATTAATCCCATTTAACTCACTTTGTTACAATTTTCGTTAGAAACAAACTGAAAAAAAAAAAAAAAAAAAAAAAAAAAAAAAAAAAAAAAAAACAGAAAAGATTAAGTAGAATTAATTTTAAAATTCAAGGGGTAAAGTGAGTTTTAAAAGTTTAAGGGATAAGGAACCTAAGAGAGGCACCGATGAGCATAACCTTGAATATAACTATAATGTCAACCAACAACATAAGGTGGCATTTGGATTTTATAAGATAGCATTTGGATTTTAAGCTCATAACTCAAGATATGTATAACATGCAAACAGAGACTTTTAAGGATCAGTTCTGGCACAGAAGCTAAGAGTGCTTAAGCAATTCCCTTCAAGTTAACCTTGCAACTAAAATTGGGCACATCTCATGGATGCAAAAGAATGTCTAGTGCAGCAACTTTTAGTAAATCAACCTATCAACCTACAATACAATGGAGGAAAAGGGCCAGAAGGCAAACCAACAAAGTGGGAGGGCCTTGATTCCACAAGGTGCCTGAATGAAGGAGCAAAAATAGTCTAGGCAGGATGGTTTCGTCAAACTTCAAATAACAGCAATAAAATTTCATGGTTCCAAAATTTCGCATTCTATACCAACAATCTTTGCTCTATGGAATATGACAAAATTCTTCAGTTATGATCCAGTAACAATTCATGAGTTTTCCAGTTCTAGACTACGAGACTTCGACAGAATGAGAGGAACGGAAAAGAAATGAAACTCTACTTTTAAGGTTTTTTTTTTTTTTTTTTTTTTTTTTTTTTTTTTTTTTTTTCAAGCCTCAAATTTTTAAGTCATAATCCTGGGAGGGATCAGCTTCTCCTTTAATATTGGACAGCCTACAAATAGAAGAAAGCGCTAGTAAGTGACATTAATTTATAATGTTTCTCTTAAAGGGAAAAACGAAAAAAGTTAAGAGAAGGAAACAATAGCCCAATTGCTTATAATTGAAAACTAATTTTGACAAAATACCTGAATCTCCCTGCAGAAAATCAGAGACAATAACCAAAAGAAAGCCTAAACCAGTTGACTCTAACTATGAATACGTTCCTGAAATCCCAAATTTATGGGCAGCCTGCATGGCAAAAGCGCATTAAGGACTCGTTCTAGATGTTGAGATAAAGTTGTAGAATGAAGACAATAGGTGGTCGCACAAATACCATTCGACTGCCGAGTGCTATTGGAACATCTTGCGATATGCTTTTCTCTCCTGATCGCGTCTATCAGCAATCTGTAACAAAAATTACAATTTAATGCCACAGTAGAAGGTAATTAATTGTCTCTACTAAACTATCACAAAGTTTGGTTAAAACAACAAACCTTCTTCTTAGTAGCAGCAAGCTCTTTTTTTATTCCAGCTGCAATCACCAGATACAAGGAAACTATTAGCAAGGTTGTCAAATTTGATCTAAAAGGCCTCACCTCTTCTTTCATATGAAATCAAATGCGAATATTTTCAAAGTTATGGAAAAATATGATACTTGTTAGAGTCAACCAATTAAACATTGAAACAAACTTCCAAAGCTATTATTACTACGTTCAAAGGTCTATGCGAAAGACATGGCCAAAACACACAAAATGTCTAAAACTTTCACTAACCATCATTGGGCTCCAAATCCAATGCCTTCTTGAAGCTTTCAACTGCAGCATCAATGTCATTGAGGGCCATGTATGCCTGGAAGAAAAAGTACCCAATTGAAAAGGTTTGAAAATGCGACATAAATAATAATAGCAGCTCGGAGCCAAAACATACATTTCAAGCTAAAAAGATATGCCACAGAAAAAAATTTCTTGTTATCTCAGAAATCAATGGAAGATACCAACCTGACCTTGGCGAAACAGAGCTTTCACATTGTTCTCTCCATCACGCATTGCAAAGTCCGTGTCCAATAATGCTCCTTTCAGGTCTCCTAATTTCAGCTTACATGCCTATAACAACTTACCGAAAATAAGTTATGATTATGAGAAAGCAGCATTTCAATACATTTAAATAAAGCAACTGAGCAACAGTACAAAACTTTAGGAAAAAAAATATTATAGAAAATAAAAAAGCCCAAAATGACTTTCACAGTTGAGTTGTATACAAATTTACATATGTCAATCAGGTGTACATGAGCACATATTTTTTACTAGAAGAAACACATTTCAGAATTTGACTGATAGACCAAGTTTCCAGCATTAAACCCATTTATAGAAAAAGAACTCACAGAGCTGTTTGTGAAAATCTGCGACTTTGTCTTTCTCAAAGATGAACTCTTCTCTGCAGAACCAGGAGAAAAGGTATAAATTGGGATGATACTGGGGCAAAGTGAATTGATGATGCAGCATTTAATAAATTAAAATTTTGCAGTACAAAAAGTAAACTACCTTCATCAATACCATCTTTCTCCCAGCAAATATCCAGATAGCGTAAAGCCTTTCGATATTTTCTAAGAGCTGTCTTATAGTCTTGTTTCTGTGCCCATCAAGATCAGGGTTTAGGGAAGACAAAAACAGCAGGAGAAATTGGATGCAAGGAAAGGAAAATAATACAGAGTAATGCCATCACCAGAAAGCATGCCTCAAATTAAAATTCATCTAATAAAGCACAGAGTCAAATTACAAAATTAATTATGAACATAAAAATGGAATATAATAACACCACGCTTATTACCTTGTAACATTCGTTACCAAAGGCCTTAATTGAGTCCACAGAAGTCATCCACCAAGAGATTTCATTAGCGCTCTCATCCAGATCAGCTGGCCAATCCGGATAAATATCACCATCTTTGAAAAAATTTGATATCCCATCATCTTCACCCTCAGGAATCTCTCCACAATCCGCAGTAACAACATCAACAGTCGGATAATCACTATCACCAGTTGTCACGTGCTCAATTGATCGAACAACTCCCATTCCTTTAACTACCTTCCCAAAAACAACATGTTTACCATCTAAATGAGAAGTCCGAGTTGTTGTGATGAAAAATTGAGACCCGTTTGTGTTTGGACCAGAGTTTGCCATTGACAACATCCCTTTCCTCTCATGTTTCAATTCAAAATTCTCATCTTCAAATTTCAAACCGTAGATAGATTCTCCCCCAGTACCATCTCCAGCAGAAATGTCCCCACCTTGAACCATAAAGCCTTTGATAATTCGATGAAAATGGACTCCCTGTATTGACAACAAAATAAAGAATCAGAAGAAGTACCTTGTAACCAATGCAAATCAAATTGCAATCATGTCAGGAAACAAAAATGCAAACAAGAAAAACAACATGAAGTATCCAACAATTCCACAAGACCATCAATAGAAAAAACAAAATAACTTGCTTTCTTAGTAAGATTTCAAAATAAGAGATGCACCGCCACATTTGTCTTATGACTATTAATAAATTGTAACATAAAACATAATATGCACTAGCTTTTTCTAGCAAAAACCATGACTTGAAATGCTAGGCTAAACCACCCTTACCTCTCATTTAGAGTCTCGTGTTCGGTAAGAGGGGGAAAAATAGGAATGAAAGAAACATATATAATCTAGGTGACGAAAATGGAGAAGAGGGGGAGGATCATTCCATTAATCTGTTTGGTATAGATGTCCTCCATATTGGGAGAGACTAAAATTAAGGTTCTTTAAAGGATTAAAAATCTCTTACCTCTTTTTTTCCTTCCTACCAAACACGCATAGGTCCCGAGATGTTTCTACTAATCCTCTCACTCCTATCCCTCCTTCCCCTTTTCCCTCCTACCAAACAAGCTAACATAGAACATTTCGTGAATTCTAGACCAATTTTCAGCAACGAACTATTCATAAAATCAGAAAACCAACTTTAAAAAATGAATAAATAAATAAATTAGAAAACCAAAACACACATGGGATTACTTTCAAGTTTCTCTGAAAAGAAACTCAACTTCACACACAAATTTATCCATTGGCACCTTCCATAGGAAACCACTCAACATCAAAAGATCAATGAACATCGAAAGCTAAAACAAATGATAAAGCGTCACTTCAGAATCAAGGGCACCACCGTCTTTTCCTCGCTTAAAACGAAAAACGAACTCCAAAATCCATGTGCATAACCGACACAATGGTCAATGATTTCAACATCCATTTGGAAAAAAAAACAATGAAGGTTCTAACTTTTCACCATAATAAACAAAATGGGCAATCCTGGATTTTCATTTTCATTCTCTCTTCGATCAAGAACAAGAAAAACATAAAAATAAAACCATCTAAACCCAGATGCGTATTTGTACAAAAAAAAAAAACAAACAAACAAACAAAAAAAACAAAAGAATAATGCAAAAACAAGATTGAAACTGAACCTTGTAGTGGAGAGGAACACCGGTGTTTGGACCAATGCCCTTCTCGCCAGTACAAAGAGCCCTGAAATTGTCGGTGGTTTTGGGAACAACGTCGTTGTAAAGCTCAACAACTATCCTCCCTTCGAGTTCTCCTCCGATGCTAATGTCCAGAAAACACCTTGGCCTCCCCATTCTCTCTCTCTCTCTCTCTCTCTCTCTCTCTCTGACTCTTTCTCTCTCGGTCTCCTCTCTCTATATAACTGTGTGTGTATATATATAGGTGTGAGTGTGGATATTTTATGTTGTTGTTCTAGAGTCTTCTGAGCTCCTTTAGTATAAACTATAATGGGATTATGGGAAGACTGAAGAAGAGTAAAATTAAAATTTAAAACCCTATTGTTATTCCAATTTCCACCTTGCTATTTATTTCGAAAAACCTCTCCCTCTTCCTCCTCTTCTCTCTCTCTCTCTCTCTCTCTCTCCCGCATCTATCATTTTTTTCAAACTCCTAGCAAATCTGAGCCGTACACCGTAGTCCGTATACGGTTTTCTTTTCTTTTCTTATATTTATTTTCATGCCCTTGTCTTTTTCATTATTTTCACTTTTTCGCTTTTGGTCATGAAAGTTAGCACTTCACTTTAGGTTGTGCATGGTCTGTCTAAAACCACCGGACCTTGCCAGTTGGATGGTTCTTAAACTGTTGATCTGGATTCATATAAACAATTCATGTATATGTTTTTGCTATTTGTTATTTTAGGCTTTTTTATCCTTAAATAATGATAATTTTAATGGATGACATGTAAATTATTATGTTCACTTGTTATCTTTTATTTAGACTTTAAGAAATATGAAATATGGTAACTGAAAAAAAAAAAAAAAATCCCGAAAGCAGTCGAAACCGTGGTTAAGTCCCATCTCATTGATACAAACCGTCAAAACGATCCAGTCTGAAAAACCTAACAGTTTAAGACTGAACTAAACCACGCACAACCTCATTAAGTTAGGAGATTCTACATGCCAGATAAATATGTGCATAAATTAGGTGGATGACTTTTTTTTTAGGTAAATGGTCGTGTTTTTACGTTGGTTAATTAATGATGTATCATATTTTGTCATTGTTTTTACAATAGTTTATCATTGATAAATTGGTAAGTTATTTATTAAGTTTAGTTAATCGTTGACTGATATTAGTTCATTAGTGATAGACCACTAATCAGTACAACACTGATTAACCATTTCTTAAAAAAAGATCATTTTCGTTTATTTGCATCAAGCTTCTCTTTCAAGACTTACTTGAACTATTACTCAACATAAAATATGAGCTTTTTAGGCTCATCAGGATAGAGGTAGGCAAAAGAGAGATTTTCGTGTTTGTTAAATTAACAAAAGTTAGATCATTTACTAAAAAAACTGCTTTAAATGGTGATACCCTATATGTTTTCGGGTTAATCTTATTTTTAATCCATGAATTAATCTTGTTGTACAAATCTCATGATTAGTCCCCACTCCCCCAATAAAACTGCAAATGTAGGTCATGCTAAATAGGTCAGCATGTGGCCCAGGCCGGGTTGGATTGAGGTTTCGAGCACAAAACCTTATTCCAACCTAGTCTCTGAACACCTTTTTTTAAAAATACATTATAAAATTCCGGGCCGGCCCGGTCTTAACCCTAAGCCCATTGAGATTGGCATCAGTCCAACCCGAAATTTTCGTTCAGGTCGGACGCCCTAAATCTTCTCTATTTTTAGCCATTAAATATATATCATGAACTGTTTGCTCTGCATATTTTGTTAATCTGATGTGATTTTGACCAAATCTAACAGTTAGAAACTAATTCTACCTGTACGACCTTGCTATCAGAGCAAAAAAACTAATTAGACGTTTGGTTCACGGATTTAGAATTATTCTTGATTTACGTGTGTTTTTTATGAGAAAAAATATTATAGTGAGTCACGAACTATGATTCGAATCATGACATGAATCCTCATACCAAATTATTTTTAATATATTCACAGTAATGTACGTAACAACCTGTATAATCAATACCAAGGTCAAAAGCCAAAACTTTTTTCTTTTTCCTTTTCTCAGTCATAATTTGTGTTAGATTACCAATATTTTTTTGAACCCTCCAATAACTGCTCGCTAGAACAAAATACCTTTACCAAAAAATATATGAAAAACGTATATTATAACTAAAATATAGTGAAGAAACATTTGATATAATTTATGATATGTACTGACAAAGTCCTTAGTACCAAGTTCTACGAAGTTTAGCTCTTCTCTTGAATCTTTACTGCTCTACGCAAAGTTTAATATATTCCCTTTTGAATCTCTACCTATACTGAAAGTTTGCTTCTAAATCTTATCGAAGATAAAAAAATCTAATTTTCATTTAGAAAATTAAGCAAACAAAATAGAATTACTTATGTTGGAAACAAAAGTTATAAGTGGTTATAGCATAGACATGCCACCTTCATAGTTAATTTGATTACTAGTAGGTTCTATTATTCTCACTTCAAAACATTATGATGCATAATCTTGACATTCTTACCAAGAAATTAATGCGCATGCGCTCATTTTTAGAATAGAATATATAAATTTATACAATAGTGAGGAAAACTATGAATTAATTGTAATGAAATAAGACAGAAAAGTAAATAGATTTACTTTTAGAAGCAATTCAAGTTAGTATTGGGGGAAATATACATTGCTAAGTGCTTAGATGTTTTAGTTGGATTTTGGTTGAAAATGATTAGTTTTTCCAATCTTTAAGGAGTTTTCTAATGGGGCTTTATTTAAATTTAGTATATATAAAAGCTTAAAAAAAAGTTTGGGCCGGGTGTGGGGTTGAGTAAGCATGTAAACTACCTTTTGAATAGTCAGTAACGTGCGTGACTGAGCCATGAACCCTTTAAACCCTTTTGTGCATCACCTCACTTGTGCTCTTTGCCAAATGTTTTTCTTTCCTAATAAAAGGGTCTCATTTTTCCGTATGTGTTTTCTCTAAAGTGTAAAAAGTCTTATCTAACAAGATTTAGGGTGTTTCCGTCCTTCTGGTGTGGGATAATTTATCCCTAGTCGGATCCTATAAGAATAGTTCTCTAGATAGCAACTCATGGTACGCCCTAGGTCCCGAATGAAATGAGTTAGGCGGTAAAACAACTAAGTTAAGCGCAAGCGGAAGTAGCTTCTTCGTGTTATGCTATAAGTGGGCAGCTTGTCGGCCCCTAGACCATAAAATAGAGACAACGTTATTACTTTCGACTACCTAAGGTGGGCTCGGTTTTGAACTCATTACTCTTGTTAACTGATGGAGGAATTTAGCATCTAAAGCAAACAAAGAGGAAGATGCAATATATATGGTTAGCACCAACACTATTAGAAGGTGGATGACCCACTGTGTGATGGATCTAGAAGAAGGGGGACATGTCAAGTATCTTTCTAGGGCTACTTTAGATGTATAATTCAATTTCACTTGTAATATTTCTTCAATTGGAAATGCAGTTAGATATTTAGGGTAGTACTGCTCGGAAGTTGAATAGATCAGAACTCAAAGCGATAAGAACCAAAGCCCCAATAAGAATTATTCACCAATTCTTATTCCTTTACATTTAATTAAGGTCTTTCATGAGGAAGATGGAAGCAAGCAAATCTAGCTCCTGAGATCGGAACAGAAATAAAGAGTGTTATAATTGAAATAGATCATGAGAAGGAAGAATGCCCCACATAAGTTGTTGTGTGGAAAAATGTGGCAGACACATGGACGAACGGTAATGCAACATGTGGCCTTGACTACTCTCCGCCAAGCGACAACCCTCCACGTCTACGGCTCCCTCCTATTCCGCTGGAAAGCCCAAAGCACGAAGTCCAAATGGTGGGCGACGATTCTTTCTGGCGTCGACAGATCGCGCCGTCGAGATCAAGGCGAGGAGATCCCTCGACCGCAGAAGTAACCGCCAAAGACGGCGATTGGGCTAAGCAGCGCTGACGACGAGGGGAACATTCTTTAGAGGACGTGACGGGTTGCGTGCAAAAGTGAAAGACGTCTGCAGGCATTAATTGTAAGCCCTCAAACCGCCCCACAGGGGACAGGAAAGCATTACGGAGAAGCACAGAGCCGTAATAGGAAACTAATTGGCTGAGTGAATAGTGCTGATTAGTGGGCTACGTCTGGGCCTACCAAGGAAGAGCACTTGAGTGCTTTCACCTATGAAGGAAACCCCCTAAGCGAAGGAAGCCCGGTATAAAAGGAGGAAGACCCCCAGTAAGGAAGGGGTTCAAAGGTTCAAAAAAGAAAAGAAATTTAATGAGAGCAATTGTTGTAAATTGTGATCTTCTCAAAAGAAATACAAAATCACAGTGAATGTAGCTCTAATTTTATAGAGTGAACCACTATAAAATTCCTTGTGTTTTTTGTCCATGCTTAATTTAGTTAAACACATAAACACACATATTCAATAAATTCTCATACGTTCACTACACACACAGGCTGGTAATCTAAAGGGAAACCAAGAGGTAACCCGGCCGGTTTTTTGTTGGTGAAATTTGACCGTCAACAATTGGTTCCCCCCCAACAACATAGTTATAAACCGCCATCCATCCAGGGAAG